TGCTATCTTAGATAGTGCCTGACCTCCATCTCTAGATGACCATGGGGTCTCCTGCAGGTATTGTTCTGTAATCATCTATCCTATAAGAATGTCTGAAGTTATTTTAGCTGTCTCAGGTGGTGTGTGTTTAGGTGTGAATTGAGTCTGGGGGAAGTCACTGCAGTCACCAAAACCAGAAGATTCAGATTCAGCTGACCAAAGATAGCTGTTTCCTATGGAGTGAGCTCAACAGTTCTCTAGAGCTTATTGGCTATATCCCTACTGCCTATAAAGGGAACTAAAATGCTTAGCTTACATTATAGGAAACTTAACTGAGACAAGCTGAATGTTAATGGGGACAGAATTAGAAAAGAAAAGATAAGCAAATAAGAGATGGGTTTCTGAAAATGAATCTGTTATTCTGAGATCAGTTTGCTTGCAAGGTTGACAGTGTACAGCCTAGTTTTCTGCTTCATTTTCTTGAGTGCATTACTTTCCAGTCCAGAATTATTTTCATTTATTATTATCATCTTTAGCTACCTAATTGTGCTACTAATGAATACAAATAATCCATTCATCACATTTTTACCTATCCACTTCAGTGTACAAATAATGGTTTGTTGTATAACTGCTGATTATTAGAGAAGGTAGCTCACATTATAGAAAATACGTGCTGAAATGTTGATTGTTGGGGAAACACCAAATTCTTTAATCAGTCTTTGAAATTATGAAAATGCATTGTTATTTTTGTTCCATCAGACTGTGATGAGTAAACATGAGACACCCTGAACACATTTTTTAAATATCTACTTACACTTGGAACTTTAATTTCAAATTTTTGAATGCTTATATTAGTACTATAGAACAGGAACAACATAGTTGGCTATTGAATCGCCTATTTGAGGGCACATGTGTGGAGTTTGAGCAGTTAATGTGAAGCATATACATTTCAAAATTACGTCCCTTGTGCTTGAAAGCCTTGAAAACACTACTCTCTCATCAACTTGGTGCAGCATGAATTGAAATGCAGTTTGAAAGCAATGTAGAGCTTCCAATTGCTGCTTTAGAAAGGGTTGTGCTGTATCTGGAATACTTTGCATAATTTAATTAATTATGCCACTAAAAACGATTTTCTCTCAATTTAAAGCAAACAGCTTTTATGAGGGTGAACTGCAGCACCCAGGGATATCAGGTGTCCAAGCTTTTAATCCTATTACAATGACTTGTCAGCTACTGATGGAAACTGGAAAAACGTAAGCCTCCAGCAGGGCAACAAGTGAAGAGGAAGAAGGCAACAAATTTTTAATACTCTTTGAAACCACTGTATGCATTAAGTCCAAATCAAATGTAGAAAGTGACAGAAGTGGTGGCTTGCACTTAATTGTACAGACGGTGAGTAGTGTCTAAGGAATAACACTTATTTTTCTTTGACATTAATGAAAATAACTGTTTCCTCTAAGAGGAAAATTGTTATGCTTAACTAATGTAAGAAACACACAGCAAATGGCCAAGACTATTTATTTTCATGTCTGTCCACTTAAAGTGTTAAGTAGTGCAGCAGCCTGTATTTTGAAAGTGGTTTCTAATGTTGTGGATTGGATTCTGTCTATGAATCATTTTCATTGTAAACAAATCTTGACAGATGATGCTGGACTACAAGTATGAAGGAATCTGTAACTGACTAGACACTACCCTCAATACTTTGCTTTCTGAGACTTATCTATTCCAATTCAGTATTTGTTTTGGTATCCCTCTAAAAGAATAGACATACAGTACTATGGAAGTAGAAAGGAGTTCTGATTTTAAAAAAGATTTAATTTCTGGGCCACATAATCAGTGCCTAATTGGCAATCTATGACTGACTGTGCAAAATATTTTGACCAGGTTATGAAAGGTTACAGTAGAATTGACTCTATCTCCATATCAAACATCAGCATGTAACATGAAATTAATTGTAATGTAGATGGTCCTGTTAATAAATAGGAAAAATGTCTTATTACTAGGAGTTCACCAGCTCTATGAAATTGAAATGCAGAAAACTTCCATACTTATCATATTAACAAATATTCATGATACTTAATAATATATTCTACATATTGTATGTATTCATATATGCGTGGTACGTATGTATGTCATCATCTTTGGATGGGAAAGTTTTTTTTTTAAAGTGTTTAAAAGATTTGTAAAATGGTCTCTTTGTTAAGAATACTATAACTGTACATGTAAATTCAAGAACTTTGCTCCAGGTGTGAAATACATTTTACAAACTGAATATTCTTTTCTATTTTATTTTTGTTGTTTGTTTTTTAAGAATAACAGAAATAAATGTCTATAAATAAATAAATAAATAGTTTTTTTTTTTTTTTTTTTTTTTTTTTTTTTTTTTTTTTTTTTTTTTTCCAGTGGATGGTGAGGATTGGAGAGTTTGTAGCTACAAAAGGAAGACATATTGACACAGATTCATTTTACTTAAGCTATCTAAGTCTAATCCATTTGTAAACGCTTTCTCTGCATTTACTATTAAGATTTAGGCAAGCCCAGAGGGCATTCATTCCATTTGTCTCTTATGTTCTTTCCTTCTTCATCTCTTGTATGTGTAGGCGTTACCTGGTTACTAGGCAGTACTGGTATTCATTTGAATTGCAGTATAGTCCCACTTGTGTTAAACTAGCCAACACACAGGGCTTATGCTGGCTTCACAGTAGATGCAGCAGGACAGACATCTGCATCCAGCATGAAATAAGAGCAGCATGGACAAGTCAGATGTACTCTGATACATTATTTGCCAGAACAAAGTTCTTTCTTTGACCTTTATTTAACAGGAGCAAAGATTTAGATTGGGCTTGTTCCTGCTCAATACTTTTCAGATTTTTGGTGGCTGTTTTTCAATGAAGCCCTAAGTGCCATACAAAGAGCTTTATTATTTGTGTACATGTACCCAAAGATGGAATGAACAACTCTTTGGAACTACCTGTCTTCTTCTACTGAGTCCATATCAGCATCAACACCCACATCTTGGCTTAAATTAAGTGAGGTGAACACATTTTCTGTTTGACTCTCATCTGTGGAGTCATATTTGGATGAATATTCAGAATAAATGAAATATAAATGTCACAGTGGCAATAAGCAGAAACTGTGCGAAAAGAAAATTAGATTTTTTTTTTCAGCTAAGATTTAGCTCCTTTAATTATATATGTGTTTGAAAGTTGTTTCATGTGTTTTTTAGAGTCCCTGAGTTCTCAAAATACAAGAAAACATGTTTGCTTATTAGAGGTGATGATGAGATTCAAATCAGTTATTAACCAGCTCAGCTATATGCGTTGCATAAAGGTGGTGACAATTTTGTGTAAAATAGTAGAAGTATCTAATATAGTTGATCCTTTTTGTTGTTTCATAAAATTGCTGTGTTTGAGTGTGGTAGAGTTAGGGCTGAATTTTTATTACCTTCTTCTGAACAATTTATACTGGGATTGAGACAGTATTGAGCTAATGAGTTAGAATTTATATTGAGCCTTAGCTGTCTTCATGAAGTAACTAGGGAAAGAAAATCATGGCAATAATGGAGTATTTTTCATTATAAACTATGTTGTACAACTTTTATAATCAGGTTTTTAATAGATGTAGAGAAATTAAATTGGAATTCTACCAACTTTTGTGCTTTTGTCATCCCATAAAATTGATGTTAAAAAATGTCAAGATCAATGTGCTTAATTTCTACTGAAGTAAGGAGGAGGTAGTATTAGTCCTGTTGCTTTCAAGGCCCTGCTGTTTATTAGGTAGTATGATGCAGAAAAGCATTCAGAAATATGCACTTCATTGTAACCTTCAATGCTAAATATAAGCTGAGTATAGATTAAATAGGTTTTGACTAATGTTATCCTGAAGTCCTTATCAAGAAAAAATCACATGAAAACAGCAGAAACATTGTCAGGAAGGTGAAATTGCACTCCATATGAAAAAGGAAGAGGTCAGATATTGCTGATGTGTATATTAATGCTGCTGGGAATTCATAGATATAGTGATTTATTGATATATTCAAACATTTTTTATTGATTTTATATGATAAATATACAAACATACAATAGTCTATGGATTTCTTCATATGTGTAGACATATATATACTCAATCTGAGCATTACACATGAATATGTACAATAAATAATGTCTTAAGAAAGGATTTTCCATTTCTACTATACAAAGCCATACAGGTTAATAGTTTTTATTGTCCCTTAATTCTGTTGTTCCATTTAGCTCTGTGTGTATTTTTTATCAGGGGCCCAGCAAAAATGCTCAACTACATGAACTATTGCTCGTCTCAACCCTTTTTTTGTCCACACTTTTCCTTGCTGTTAGTCCATTCCACTAAAAAGAGACTGAAGGAATCAATTAATATTTCCTTACATTTTAATTAATAATGCAAAATAAAAATTTAATATACAACAAGAAAAGGTCACCCAAGCATGTTCAATAAATGAATATTTTAGTTAATTCCTATAATGTTTGTTCATTCAAAAGTACAGGAAGAAATATGAATGTAGTTTAAATTTTAATTGGATTAATAGACAAAACTTTTTTTTTTTATATAATAAACATATAAAACAAATGCCACATATGTTTTTTATTTACTATGAATGGCAAAAGTATATGTAAAAACATTAATACATCAGACAAAAAGTTTGTGTGATTGAACACCACTATAATACTTTTAAGTCTGTTCTAACTCAAATTAATAAGTTATCCTTGCATATCTTTTTTTCAGCAGATGAAAAAAAAAAAACAAACACACCACCACCACCAAAAATAAATAAATAAATAAATAAATAAATAAACACACAACACCACTACCAACAACAACAGAAAAGAAAAATAAATTGCCCTTCTCCCAGCCCACATATTGAATAAATAAATAAATGAAAATTGCCACTTGCAAGGAAGGTTAAATTGCTGGCCTTCCTTGCAGATTCAGACATTAAAAATTTGGAGTTTTCCTTCATCCAAATAATATATATTCATTCCCAACAGGCAGCAGTGATGGTTCTTGGGATAAAGAAAAACTTCAGTCTCCCCCCACCCAGGGATCACAGTCCTCTGTTAACCACCCCAACTTGCCTGGACAGCATAATGTTCCAGTTAGCCATCCTCTCAACCCTCTTCAACAGAATCACCTTCTGCCAAATGGTACGGGTTGACATCTTTCAGCACTAACATCAGTAGTCTTCCAATTCCTGTCTTGATTTTGTGTTTACATAAATAGGCTATCAAAAAGTCAAAGTTATGGGGGATATTGGAATACTTTCTTCAAAGTTCTAGCTGGGGAAGTGGAGTTGATAAAGAACAAATATGTATGCAATAAAATTGATACTTAATTATTAACCAGTGTGTAAGTGGCATGGTAACGCATTGCTAAGTCACTTTACAGCAGATACTAGAAAAGATAATAAACAGCCTTTGCTCATCAATGACACTGTACAACATTACACTGATATGAACAAACTAAGATGTCTAATAGCCTCTACTTGTATCTAAAAACCCTCCATGTTTGCTAGTGATTTACATGTGCACATCCCAGAAAAGAAAAGATGCATTGCTGCTTTGTCTTGATATGGGACCCATCTTGTCATCCATAAGTTGAGTATTGTCCATGAGGAGAAAACAGAAAAAAACACAATGTATTTATATATATATATAAAAAAATATATAGAGAGAGAAAGAGAGAGAAAAGAAGTAATCCTATTTTCATTTATTTTTTCCCCACCAGGACTGGAACTTCCTTTTATGATGATGCCCCACCCATTAATTCCTGTGAGCCTACCTCCAGCATCTGTCACAATGGCTATGAGCCAGATGAATCACCTTAGTACCATTGCCAACATGGCAGCAGCAGCACAAGTGCAGAGTCCTCCATCCAGAGTTGAGACATCTGTTATTAAGGTAAGTATATTAAAAATAAAGTAAAATAAATCTAGCACAGCCAGAGCCATCATAAGTATTACAAGGATGGGTAGGTGTCAGATCTTATAAGGTAAGTCATAAAGTCAATATGTAGCTCTGAGAACAGTAGGCTACTGGTCACTAGTTCTACCTTCTCCTCTCCCATATCATAAGTATTAAAATAATGCTCAAGCTGAAGCACTTTTCATACAGAATACACAGCTTTCTGGTTTCTCATATTTAATAGTCTGTAATCTAATGGCATGTTCCTCAAGATAAAGTAAGACATGATTTCATTGTTAAATTAGAACAAACAAAGATGGAGTCTGTCTGTTCTTCCAATTTGTAATTCTAAGCATTTGAACTGAAATGCTGCAAAGTATCTGAAGGCTGAAAGGCTTAATACTTTGTCTCTAAATTGCCAAATGCTGGAACAGAATGTAATAAAGTTACACAGAACAGACCCAATAATCTCCAGGTCATAATAATAGTACTGTAGAGAACTCTTAATCTGAAAATATCTACCCATTTTAGGTTTTATTGCCTATAAGAGTAGCAGTCTAGCCCCTTCTCCATCCCAAATCAATTTGGTCAGAGATTTATTTAGCAGAGGCATGGAATCTTCTCTCTTTTTGACTGAGGATGATCTGTATTTATTTTAAAAGCTTTTTTTATCTTACTACCAGATATTTATGATTTGATTTGACATTAATTCAGATATTTACATTTTGCATTTTTATCCTTCTTTAGTTCTAATACACAAGATACAAAAAGAATTGTGTGCTAGTTACTTTTGTGCTATTACATAACTTCCTTACATTAGAAAGCAAACAAACAAATGAACAAAATAAATAAATAAATTTTATTTGGTTATTTGACATTTTACAACTATATTGGAAATCTGTCATTTAACACAATCCCTTTGACAAGATCTGGGTAAATGTAAAATCTTTTGGACCTTCAAATCAGGAGCTACAAAAGTTTTGATGGAGGAGCACGTGCAAAAGTACACTTGAAAATTATGAATTTAGCAACAAAACTTTGTTTTCACTATTTTTCCTAGTATTTCCCTCTCTTTCATCATCTGTGAGCTATTTTATTTCATATAAAAGAATTCAAAATTTGATCTTCACTAGTATTTTTAACTTTCTGTTCAAAACTTTGACAAAAATTTGCATTTGGAATGCAACATAGCTCCCAGGTTATGAGAAAACAAAAACAAAAACAAAAACAAAACAAACAAACAAACAAACAAACAAAAAAGAAAAACACTTCTGTGGAAAGTAGGCTGTAGGAAGTGGGCCTGGTGTGTTCTTAGATCTAAACCAATTATGGGAAGATGACGACCCTGGAAGCACTTAACTGAGATGTAACTCTTACTCATCTAATTTAAATCTGTCTAATAGGTTTAAAAATATTGGACTCTGAAAGAGAGACTTTGTCATTATGTAATTATGTATATTATTTTAACCATAGACAGCGCCATACCAGATTTTCCTTATCCCAGAGTTCTTTAACTTCTAAACAGGCTCACTCTTGTAGCTCATTTAGGTAGAAAGATAATTTTGGTCTAACCTAGGTGAAGAACTTAAAAATACCCAGAAAATGTTGATTTTCAGTTTGAATTATTTTAGGAGCATTTTGTAACATTTTTTCCCCCCTAAATCTTGATTGTTTAAGCATATGCTTGTATAAATAATCAGCACTATTTATCATCTCTTTGTCTTTTCTTATATACCTATGAAAATTCAACAGTTCTTTATTTATGCTACAAAAATCTTCATCATAGCAACCAACTTTTGTGCAGCTCCTCTCATAACATTTTGCACATTATTTAACAAAACAGGTTTGATGTTCCCATCTGGTTTGCACATAACGGGTAACTGGAAAGACGTGGATTTATAATTAAGTGTTTTTAAATGGCCAAATTAACTTATGTTCTTTTTTGAAGCGCATTCTCACTCAGAATTGAAATACATTTTTTTTTTTTAATGTTTATACATTTAAGTTCATGGTTAAGGGACATTTACATAGAACCTGACGGAGACACTATCTAAGCACTGCTGTATCTTCAGTCAAGACCTGTAGCATACTACCCACTATACATTTATATTAAAGGTAAATATATAAATAAAAGAGTGATAAACTGCCATACAAAACTCACATCTTGCTGCATATAATTATTTCAGTAATTCTTTAAGGCTCGGGAACTTATACATACTTTTCTACTCTTCAGCATCTTTGTGGTACACCATAACTCTAGATTCATGTCCTCTGCTTTTGCCTAGGAAAGATGAATATGGTCATGTGGATAGAGAGAACACAGCCTATTATGCTCCTATTTTTTAATACTAAACAGGATTGAAAACAAAACCTGATCAACATAAAAACACAAGGTCATTGTTTGGGGGATTTTCTTCCCATCAGCATGGAAATAACATTGCTGGAAATTTACCATTCCCTCACTAGAAATAATCAGAGGCTGTGAGTTTAGTGCCTGTTGAATTATATGCACTGAGAAGTTGAGAAGCAAACTTCAATCAGCATACTTTCGGAACCTTACACTAGCAATGAATAATAGCTTTTACTACAACTAAAATAAATATTTTAGAGAATAGATCTAAGTGAGAAGGTCAAACCTGCTTTTCCTTTATTTTTGTAGGAATGGATAAATAGTGAAGTTGCTCTCTTTTACAAGAATGTTTGTTATTAGAATAATATTTTCCTTATACTGCTACATTTTTAGGCTCTTTGGCTTTGTTTTCATTATCTTCTGGATCGATCTTTTAACCTTGGTTTACTTAAATACTTTTCCTCAATTACAATTTTCCAGAAGCTGATTTAAAAGGACTGTGAATCACTCATCGTTAAGTTAATCTTTATAACCTGAAATGTCAGTGTAGATTTGAAATTAGAGTACTATATAAGTTTAAACTTTGAAGTTAGATAACCTATGAGAAATTTCTACTCTGAAAAGTATATCCAGAGTTACCATATCTAATTAAGTAAATGGAAATGAAATTCAGTCTTAGAAAACAGGAGTCTTCAGCTTATAAATTTCCTGGTTTACTGGATACTAGAACTGTGAACAGTGCCACAGTGGATGACTTGCTGACCTTTTTTTCCAATTCACTGAGTTCACAGTTAGTGTTGTTATCTTTAAACTCACAAAGCTTAAAATGCCTTTCTATTACTGGGTAATATTTAATTTCTTCATGATAAAAAGGTGGAATAAAGCTGAGATCATGTATAGCCAAACATTTTATCCTGCTGTGTTCAGGAGATGAGACAAAGGCTAAATTATAAGGGAAAACTTAGAAAGCAACACTTTTTTTTTTTTTTTTTTTGGCAATGAACTCTGAGCTCTAAAATCTTCAGAATTATATTTCAGAATAGTTTTTTGCCCTTTCGAACATAAGACAAACATTAGATGTTTTGTGATGGAATGTTTAGATATATGAGTTGGATGAATAAGAGGAGAGCAACAACAACCAGGGAAAGCAGACTGTGACAGCAATGAATAGCGGTGTGACAGCTGTGACCTGGGGATGCTTTAGATATGAGGTGGCTTTCATCACCTGTTTTCAAAGGCTCGGATTGTTAGCAGTTTCACTACATCATATATATATATATATATTTTTCAGTCAGTAGAAAGATATATGAAAATATAGAGGACATGCCTTATATTAATAGCAACATGAAAAATTCTACTCTGATAGTTAGAACAGAGCAGAATTCCAGAATTAAAAATTGCACTTTGTCCATGAAATATTACTAATAGTTATGGGAAAAAATAAGAATACAGTGGGAAAAACAAAAAAAAAAAAAAACAAATCAAAAAACACAAAACATACACACACACACATACACACAAAGTAAAGAATAACTTCATTTGAAAAAGTAACCATTGGCGTAGTAGGTTTCCACTGTATATTAAATACATGAAACTAAATTTTTCTAATTCTCTAAATATGTCACAGCACTGGTTGCCTTCTTGTCATCCAACAGCAGAAATTGACAATGAAATTAATAAACTAAGATAGTAGATGACAGTTGATTTTATAGGCTGATATGAATTTTTATTCTGATATGAAATTTTATTTTAACATTCTTTTAACATTCTACTTTTCCATCTTTCACTGAAAATATATGTGTATTACTATTAACATATTTGATGTTCCTATATATTTTTTTGCCTGTAATTGCTGCCAGAAAGTCTGAATAATAGACCAAGAGAAGAAATACTAAACTGCTATACAATGACATAGGAACAACATACATTTACAAGTTTCAAGTGAGAATGGTAGTGAGGAAGTTCAGAGAGTGGACCTGAAAGGAAGATGATTGTAAGAAAAAAATGAACAGGTTCACTTCATTGAGGGTGTAGACAGCAGAGAAAGAGACTGTAGAAGTCTTCTATGACTACTGTATAAATAGCCTTGAGTGTAGTGCAGAGTTTTAAACCTAAAATATATTGGCCACAGTATTTCAGTGTAGAAGAGTTTACTGATAACTTATTTTCCAGTTATGGAAAAAGTGTTTTTTATTTTTTATTTTTTAATTTTTATTTTTTATTTTTTTTTATTTTTTTATTTTTTTAATGGTATTAGTTAAATTATCTCTTAAAATTGGCTGACACACCACCCCGTAGAGAAAATGGCATAGGAAGTACCCTAAAAATACAATTAGACATCCTGGATAGAAAACCATTCCACTTCACTGTTGTTACTAATAAAGTCAATTTTCTTGTACTATAAACTGAAGAAGACTGCCAGAATTGTCTTCTGATATCAGACTGAAAATATATACTGAATATACTGAAAAATCTTTAAAAGTGTCTCTCTGGATGCAATGAATAAAATAACATCCAAAGCCATAACATCCATTAGATAACATTCATTAAAGGACCATCCTCAAATTTCAAAAGACAATGTCAGGAAATGCTAGAATGCCCCTGCAACTTTAAAGTTATGATGTTGCATTTCGTAGTGTTATGGTAA